TGTGTGTGTACAGATTTATCAGATATGTTGTCACAAATTATGTAACATTTAAAGGATGTAAACCTTTTTACACAAATAGTTTGGAACTACTGCCACTGAAAACCATATCAGGTCCACAACATTGTTTTATTTTAATTTTTTAGTTTTAGATTCTATGTTTATGCTAAAGAACATTGTCCCATATAAGATTTAGGATGGTGTTGTCTAGCTTATGCTAGAATCATATAAAACAGTTACTATAGCCTCACTGTATGTAGTTAGTTAGACTTTTGTTTTATGCTGACAGTTTTCATATACATACAATTTTTTTTATTTGAAATTGTTTTGGACTTTTTAAATGTGATATGAATAAATGACATGTACATTATCTAAAAATGCTTAAAAAATAAACACTCTAAATTTTCCAAGTCTTTTTTTGTTTGTTTTTGTTCTGACATACAGTCTGAACTTTGTGAATTTATATGCACAGAAGTGAGTATTTCAAACCTCCTATCAAGCCAAGTTTAATTAAAAGAGTAGTACTTAATAAAGTATGTTTATGCAAAAAATACATTTTCCAACTGATAACAATGAAAATACGTTTTAAAATTTGTGAAAGTGTTTATGTGTTACACATAGGAAGTAGCATAACTAACTTGCATAACCAGCTAATATTATGCCTAAAATACCCTAAAATTCATATTTTGCCTCTGATAAAAAGTTAAGTGTAAAGTTACACAGCCCAACAGGGTTAGATCCACTTCAAAGGAAGGAGCTAACAGAGGCTAACAGCAGCACCCCATACCAGTTGGTGGCGATAATCCACCATTTCCCTGTTTGCCAGCCACCAATAAAACGCACAAGAAGAAGAAAGACGCCGACGGCGCTGCGGCTCCTCCCGTCAGTCAGCGCTGACTTGCGGTTAGATTGGTCCGTTACCTCCGCCTCTGCTTCTCCTCCCCGGAGGCATGGTATCGCGGCAAAATTAAGCCTCGTTGACGCAGTTAGACAGCAGCAGAGACTCGTGAACAGGTGAGACTTAAAAAGTTTTATTTGTGCAAATCTATTTTTTCCTGCAGCTGACTGTTGCACTTTCTGCTACCTTTGCATTAACACCGGCTTCCATAGCTAATCGGTGTCTTTACCGCCAAGCCTTAGAAACTCCTGAAGACCTGTCACGAGGTCCATGGAGAAGTTATCCTCATGCGTACAGGCTTATCTAATCATCCGAAGAAAAATATGCCCGCATCTGAAGTACATGTACGGATTTTAATACGCCTCTTTCAAGACGCCATCTTTGTTTTGGTTCTGAAGCAGTGGCGTAGTTTTGTGAAAATAATAAAAATAGTCTCTGTGAATATACTTTATCCCGTATTGTTAGAAGAGTATTTGAGGATTAAAAACGCTGCTACGTGTTTGGATATGTCTTTCTGAGTTGTTCAAACATGGCATAGAATTTCAAAATTAACGGTTAGATGAGGGACTGAGGATGCTGTGAGTCTGTGGAAGCCTGTTAGTATGGAGGGCCAAACTCAGGAATAAATAAATAACGAAAATAAAGAACCGAAATATGATTGAAGAAACACATTACTTATTATTATTATTATTATTGTTGTTGTTATTATTGTTACTTTTTCAGACTTATGGTCTAATTTTGCATGAATATCTTTGGTGATGGTTGGGACATCTTTAAAAGGTTACAGGTTAGAGTATAAAACTCATAACAAGTTTCTGTGCAGGTAAAGTTAATTTTGGTGTTATTTAATCAGGTACAAACACATTGCATGTTTTGTATGTACTCAGTAGAGCCATGCCGTCCAATGTGGAGATCAAAGCCAAAGTGAGCGACCTGACACAGTTTGCCCAGAAGGCGGCTGAGCTCAGCCAATCGGAGGGGACGATCATCAGGCAGCATGACACTTTCTTCAGCTGCAGCCAAGGACGGCTGAAGCTGCGAGACTTCATGGTACAGAGAACAACCGATGAGGTTTAGAGAAGTTTAAAATACAAAAAATTACATTTTTGGGGTTTTTTTGCTCCTTAGAACGGGTCAGGTCAGCTGATCTTCTACGAGCGTCCGGACACCGATGGACCCAAACTGTCTCGTTACTCCATCACCCCCACCAGTGACCCACAGAGCCTCCAGGTAAAGCACCAACATATGTAACTGTTAATGAAATTAGGTAGTGTAGGCCATGCCCCCAAACCAGAGACATAACTTAAATCAAGATTTCTCTGTGAATGTGGATTTTGTTTTGTTTTTTTAATTTACACTCGGACCGGCGGCTGCCTGGGGTCTCTCCTCCTCCTTCCTCCCCTTTCTCTCATCCACCTGCTGGCCTCCACCACCATCTGAGGAAGCTCCGCCATAGCCACCACCAAACAACTGAGTTATTTTTACACACCGACCAGCATCTGGCCAATCCACCACCTTTCATTGTTTATACCGTTACAAAGAGAAAAAAAAAGTCACCGGGCCACCGAGCAAATGCCCAGTATGCCGGATGGCCAGTCCAGCTATGGTCGTGCCATCAGTTAACCCTTCACGCGTGTCTAGGGTTGCCGACCCCTGCAGTAGACCAATAAAATTGATAAGTAGTGTATATATATGGTATATATTTTTACCGGTTGTTAAGAGACATAATGTTGTTTGTGCACTGTTCTGTAAAAAAACCCATAAACAACGTAATTTGTGTGTTACTGATACGTACGTATACTTAAGGCGCTGTTCGAGGAAAAAAAGCATTTGCAGTATGTATTTTTGTATGTTACCATCACGTTTATGTTACCTTATGGATGAAATTAAATGTTAAAAATCCTCACGTGTAATATTTCTGTGTAAATATCTCATATTACGAGTGAAACGCATACGGCTTAAAATCCAGTGCGGCCTGAACAAGTGCAAAATTGATTTTCTTTCTAAAATTACAGCATGCGGCTTTTAATCAGGTGCGCTCTGTAGTCCGGGATTTACGGTAATAATTGTTTTTGATAGTACAGCCAAAGTGTAGAATGAGAGGGTGTAGAGCTGTAGAGGGAGGTTAAAGTTGGGGCTACAGATGAAGCTAGGCATACAGCAAAGAAAGAGATGGCAAAGGCTCATACTGAGACTGAGGAAGAAGTAAAGGACTTTTATTATTGGCTAGGCAGACAAATCAAGGTGATAAGGATGTGCAGCAGGCTAGAGTGATTAAGGATAGAGATGACAACCACTAAAAAAAGAGTTGCTTAGATGAAAGGAGTACTTTGAGCAGCTAACATGGATGAAGTTTGTGTTTGGAGTTTTACAGTGAGTTTGGGGACGGGGACAATAACAAGCTGTTGAAAGACAGCTAGAGCTACTGATGTAGTTAAGAAGGCTATTTAGACTTCGCGGTGGACGGACAGCTCCACCGCGACCCCAACATCACTCCGTGGCTGTATTAACCTCACACCAGATAAGAATCAGCTACACCATTTCCCTATCCACTCACACTAACTTGCATTAACATCTGTTTAACTTACCAGTATCAAATCGCATCTTAAAGTGTGATTTCATAGCAGATTTAACACCGTCACTCTCCGTCAGTGATTTAATTGGAATGTTTACGTTTTGTTTCTGTTTTTTTTCTTCTCGTTTTTTTT